TCTCTGGGCCTGGGGCAACCTGTTCTTTTTTCAATGTACCCATTTGGAGGCTTCTATTTTTCTTCAAATCTTTTGGGTTTTTTTTTCTCTAAACTTTGTCCTTCCTTATCTGCTTTGCCTATATTTTTTAGTATGTATGTATGTATGTATGTATGTATGTATGTATCTATCTATCTATCTATCTATCTATCTATCTATCTATCTATCTATTTTGTACTGTTGAGGATTGAACTGAGAGCTTTCTACATGCTAGGTTCAGTCCTCTACCACTGGACTACACTCCTACTTCTTTCTAAAATTTTTATTTTGAGCTTGGTATGGTAGTATATGTCTATAATCCCAGCATCTTGGACGCTATGCCAGTAGGATCTCCTGTGTGAGGTCAGTCTGACCAATTTAGTATTACCCTTTTTCAAAATTGAAGAAAAGGTGAGGGGGCTAGAGATGTAGCTGGGTGGTAGTCCAGTGCTCCTGGTTTGGTCCCACATGCCACATGCACCCAAATATAATAAAAAGGATAATGACTTGAGATGGGGTTCTTATGAAGTTGCCCAGGCTGTTCTTGAACTTGTTTTTCCCAATGTGGCTACTTTTTTTTTTTTTTTTGGTGGAACCGAGGATTGAACTCAGCCCCTTGTGCTTGCCAGGCAAGCACTTATTCTGCTGAGCTATCTCATCAGCCCTACTTTTTTTTTTTTTTTTTTTTTAGACAAGGTACAGGTTCTCCATATGTAATGCAAGCTAGCCTTGAACTCATAGTGATCCTTCTGCCTCTGCTTTACAAGTGTTGGGATGAGAGGCATGTGCTACTATGCCCAGCTGAATGTGGCTACACTAGGAGATAGGGTCTCCGAATGTAGTTCAGGGTGGTGTGGGGGGCAATAGAACGCTCCTGTTATGTTTTCCCTTATTTGGGCAAGAAATGCTGCAGCACCAATCCCCGCTTGCCTTGGCATCTTCCTCTGGTCCTGGACCTCCACTACCAATCCACAACTAGTCCCACCCAACTGCTTCCACTATACAGCTATTTAGCCCCTGTTCACTTCTTCAATAAACGAGACTTGATCAGAAAGCCTGTCTTGTCTCCGTCTCTCGTGTCTCTTGCCCTGTCTTTTTCATCCCTGTTCCTCCTCCAGGTCATTACCCCACGTCTTGACTCGCGGGCCGAGTCAGGGTGGCTTTTTTTTCAGAACCGGGGATTGAACTCAGGCCCTTGTGCTTGCCAGGCAAGCACTTATTCCACTGAGCCATCTCCCCGACCCTCAGGGTGGCTTCTGAACTCACTATGTAGCCCAGGCTGGCCTCAAACTTATAGTGATCCTTCCTCCTCAGCCTCCCGAGTGCTAGCATTACAGGCATGTGTCATCACACCCAACCTATATATTTTATTTTTTGAGACAGGGTCTCAGTATATAGTTTAGGCTGGTCTTGAACTCACTATGTAGTCCAGGCTTTAACTCAGGGAGTAATCCTTTTGCCTCAGCCTGCTGAGTGCTGGAATTACAGGCATCCACAACCATGCCAAATTTACTTCGTCTTCTTTTTCTTTCTCTTTTTCATGTATTTGGTACAGAGCCTCACTATGTAGCCCGGACTCGTAGTGATCCTCCTGTTTGCAGCCTCCCCAGTGCTGGGATTACAGGTGTATGCTACCAGGCCTAGGTCTCGGTGGCCAGCTCAGCACACCCAGGGGTGGGGCTGGAGCAGCATGTGGTGCTGGGGGTGAAACCTGGTCCCTGTGCTTGCCTAAGCAGGTGCTTGGTCTACTGAGCCATCTCCCCGGACCTCGGTTTACTTCTTGATTTATTCAGTTTTAGGCATTATCTGTTGCCAGAATCTATGGGACATGAGGATTTAGCTGTTTCCTCTGTCAGCTTCATAGACCCTGTCCTCCAACTCCTATTGTCCTAATAGTGTTGCATCTCAATTTTTATTGTATTGAAAGTGTTCATGCATCAGTTACATTTGAGCTGTACTTCAAACCATGGTTACTTTTCCTTTTATGAAATACTGTTTTTCCTAAAGTTTACCAGGGATCAACTCAGGACCTTGTGCTTGCCAGGCAGGTGCTTATGCTGCTGAGCTATCTCTCTGGCCCTGTTCTCTAGGGTATTAACTTTTTGGTTTTCTCTTTTCTTTTCTTT